ATTTCTTAGCATGAATTTCACTGAGACTAGTCATTAAAAAATCATGTAAAGTGACTATATATGAGATCTTAAAATGAAATCATGACTTGAAAAAAATGAGAAAGTGATTTCATTTGATCTTATTTAGTCTCATTCTTAGCATAAAGTTACTATTTTTAGACATTTTAAGGTTTTTTTAGACTATTTTTAATTTTTTAAAAAGTAACACTTTTTAATAATACTTAAATAAGATTTAAAGTCATTTAAAGCAATAAAAATAATTTAAATTGAGAAGTGAAAATCATGATCTCATTTGAAAAATGTGACAAGAGTAGACAGTAAGTCTCACTAAGACAGTATAAGACTACTATTTAATGTTAAAACTGTGTAATGAGATCAGTTAAATTAATAATAAGACTATTAAAAAATCTGATTCTGATCTTAGACACAGTTATATAATCAGTCTATCTGTAGATAACAGAGTAAAGTGATTGTATACATTATTATTATTATTATATATACAAGTATTAAATACTTGCTTACGCTCACTTTTCTGCTTACGTAGCTCTCTCTATTACTTTCACTCTCTTCTCTGATTACTCTCTACTCTCTCTTTATTATCTCTTTCATCTCTTATCTTCTATTATCTCTATTACTCTCTTTCTCTATCACTCTCTTTCACTCTGTATTACTCTGTATCATCTCTATCACTTCTTCTATCTCTTTCACCTCTTACTCTCTACTCTCTCTATTATTATCACTATTTCTATCACTCTGCAGCTTCTCTACTACTTTCATTCTTCTTTCAGATCACTTCTTATCACTTTTTACTATATCTTTCACTTCTTTCACTCTCTACTCTCTCTACTACTATTATTATATCTACTGTCTTATAGCTCTCTCTATTACTTTCATTCTCTACTTCTACTCTCTTATCACTTCTTTCACCTTTAATCTCTCTATCATTATTATCATCTCTACTGCTCTGTAATCTCTCTCTATTATTATTACTATCTCTATCATCTCATAACTCTCTTTATTACTTTCATTCTCTATCTCTATTCACTATTATTATTCTTTTCATCTCTTTCACTCTCTATTCTCTCTATTATTATTATTATCTCTACTTCTTCTATTACTCTCTTTCACTCTGTATTATCTCTATTATTATTATCAGATTAATCAGAGCTGTACAGACTGCAGAGTCAGCTATTCAATCTTATTTATGAATTTAAAGAGATGTATATGATATCATATAAGATTTTATTACAGAGTATTTAGCAGTATATACTATAAATATAGAGATTAAAATGTAATAGAGATAGTAAGAGAGAAGTAGAGATAGTGAAAGTAATAAAAGAGATTATAGAGTAGTAGAGATAATAATGATAATAGAGAGGCTAGAGAGTGAAAAAGATGATAGAGAGAAGTGATAGAGATGATAGAAATGAAAGAGGTGATAAAGATAATAAGAGAGAGATAGAATGATAAGTGTAATATAACGGAACCGAAGCAGTGACTAGTCAGCGGCATTATGTAGAAGTAGTTGTTTGAGAAGCTGTATAAGTGAGCTTGACTATCTTGCTTGAATAGCAAGCTTGTAGGCTACAAGGTTATTGTGAGAATATCACAGATATGATACTTAGTATACTAAGAAGATTGTATAAGACACACAGTAACTCTTGTATATTTTTCAGTAGAAGAAAAAGATGAATTACTGACTTCTTTGATAAGAAGTCAGCATCTAGCTATTCTATATAGATAATGAGCAGATACTCTTCTTTCATTTCACAAGTGAGAATAGCTGAAGCAATATCTCAGCAGTGTCTCATTGTCAAGAAAGAGTAATCTGCTGATCTTGTATAAAAGTGAGGTTCTTATATTCATCAATTGAATCTTTCTATGATACATCTAAATAATGTCATAGAGTGGTTGAAAACCAGTTCAGACAGAATGAAATCATTCACATAAAAGCAATGAGTTATATGAAACTGCAACAGAGTCTTGACATGACTGAGAGCATGATAATACTCTCTTCTTTAAGAGCATAGTCTCTATACTCTCAAGATTACTGAATTAGAAATTATCTTTGTTATATAGCAACAGTTATCAACTGATTAACAGTGTGTGTGCTGTGTATAATACAAAGAAATAGATGAGTTTTTCTGCTGACTATGTAAATCTTTCTTTTCTCATCTTCATTCAAATCAAATATGTAATAAGTGAGTTTCTTATATATTGATTTAGAAGATAAAAAATGTAATTAATAAGTAACTCACAGATCTTTCAACATATTCTGTTCTATATATGAAATTCTCTACAAAAGTGATGTGTTTTAGAGACAAAGCTAACAGTTATGACAGGATTTTTTCAAAAAGATTCTTCTTCTCTGTGACATATTTTTCTCCCTTTCCCTTCATCTGCAATAGTGAGTGCATGAGAGTATCATTCTTAAAGAACAGTAGAGGGCTTATTCTGACATTTTCTAGTGAATAAATGTCTTTGTGATGCAGCGGCGGCCTCTGTGACTGTCAAGAAAGCCAGGTTGAAGATGATGATGTTAATGAGCTGCGAGAGCATCACTTTCATTATCACATCTTCTTCTGCTTCTCTTGCAGCTGTGGTGATTCTGTCAGTCAGTGCATCTACATCTGGTTCATTCTCTGCCCTCTCTGCTGCTGTTACAACACCACTCTCTCCCTCAGCCAATATAATAGCATATGACTCTGTGTGATCATTCAGAGAGAAATCTGAGAAGAGCTTGATTCTGAGAACAGTGACTCTGAGAAGCTCAATCTGTAGTTTCTCTCTCACATGCCTGAGCCCTGCTTGAGATGCTGCTGAATTGAGTCTGCAGAGTTCTGTGATTTCTTCATCTTCTCTCTGTGAGAAGGCTCTGATGCAGTCTCTGATCAGTATCACTACTTGTCTGCACTGTGTCAAGCAGCTGAAGAAAGAAGGGATTTTATATATCTATCTCTTCTCTCACTTCTATTATTTCTGTTATATCTGTAACAATAACTCCTGTCTCTCTGTAAGTATTATCTCATGGAAAGATATCATATCAGCTCTGATAAGAAGTCTAGATACTCAAGCAGTACAGAGTAAGAGTCTCAGAGCTTTAAGTATTAATGAATTCTGTCAAGACTGAGAAGATCTCTCTTACTTATCTGTAAAAGAAGACAAAAGTATGAATCTCTGAGATGAAAAAACACCTCAGAATGACTAATCTTAAGAAGAGGTCAGTCAGTGCTACTATTAAAAGCACTGCAGAGATCAATCACTGCTTAAAGAGAATCTCACTTTAATTAAAGCAGATGACTGAGATACTTTATAAGTTAATAAGTTGACATTTCATACATTTCTTCTACTCTTCTACAGCACTGCAGTACTAACTTCTCAGCAGACAAAGATACTGATACTGAAGACTTCAATGATGAAGAATGAGTTTGATAAGAGTGTGATTATTGATAAGTAGACTCTGGTCTCTCTTTTTACTTTTTCAGTGAGCTGCAGCCTTATTAGAATAGCAGCAGCTTATAAATTGATAATATTAATCTTTTTGTTAATTTCAAATATCTCTTTTCTTTTAACTGCTTCAGAAATGTTATACTTGTGTAGTTTTATTAAACTTCTAAAAATTCTTTGAGAGAAAATAGAAGAAGAGTGCTACAGAGTCTATAAGATATCAGC